AATCTTTGGTAGTTGGAAAATATGGCCTTGGGGATAGAAATGACACTAGAGATTGCATGATAGAATTTTGCAAGACCAACCACTTAGTCGTTGCAAATACCTTTTTCCAACAACATAAATGGCAGCTATACATGTGGACCTCACCAGATGAAATACACAGAAATCAGACTGACTAGATCTGTGGAAAGAGGCAACAGAGAGGTCAATATCATCAGGAAAAACAAGGCGAGCAACTGTTCATATGCAAGTTCAAGTTGAAGCTGAAGAAATTAAAACAAGTTCCATGAGAGCCGAAATATGACCTTGATTACATCCCTTCCTAATTTAGAGATCATCTGAACAACAGGTTTGATGCTTTGAAGAACACCATAAACATCATACATATATGAAGAAAGTGAAAGGTCATTAAAAAGACAGGAAAGGAAGACCAGACCAAAATGGATGGCAAAAGAGATTCCGAAACTTGCTCTTGAAGAGAATGTAAACTAAAGTGAATGGAAGAAATGACGAGATAAAAGAACTGAATAGATATCAAAGGGCAGCTCTAGAAGACAAAGCAAAGTATTATAATGAAACGTGCAAAGACCTGGAGTTAGAAAACCAAAAAGGAAGAATACACTCTGCATTTCTCAAGCTGAAAGAATTGAAGAAAAAAGTCAAGCCTTGAGTTGCAATACTGAAGGATTCTATGGGCAAAATATTGAATGATGCAGGACGCATAAAAAGAAGATGGAAGGAATATACAGAGTCAATGTACCAAAAAGAATTGATTGACATTCAATTATTTCAGGAGGTAGTATTTGATCAAGAAGCAATGGTATTTAAAGTAGAAGTCCAAGCTGCACTTAAAAAACTGGAGAGAAACAAGGTTCCAGGAATTGACAAAATACCCATTGAGATGTTTCAGTAAATGGATCCAGTGCTTGAGGTTCTTACTCATTTATGCCAAGAAATTTGGAAGACAACTACCTGACCAAATGACTGGAAGAGATCCGGATTTGTGCGCATTCCAAAGAAAGGTGATCCAACAGAATGTGCAGATTATCAAACATTATCCTGCTATACACTTCAGTAACTGTTTAGATGTCTGTGCTTCTGCTTTGTGTATAAAATCCTTGTGGCATAACAACCATGAAAGAATGAGTTGCTTCCTAAAAGCTATACAAATGAAGGCAAACAGTGCTCTCTTGATTTTGAATACTGTTTTCTTAACAACTAAAATGTAGTTTTTAATCTGTTCTGTACTTACCTGACTAACAGATATTCGTTTGGGAGGTCTTCCTCTTCGTCTGCTAGCAGGACTAAAGAGAAACGCAGGTGGGTCATCAGGGAAGAAATAAGAAAAATCCTGTTCTTCTATTTTATATGTCGAAAGAGATGAGGCCTTCATAAAAAAGACATAGGGTACAATAACAACACATTAGTAAACTTTATTTAGATTCACTTAAACATGTCATAAGGCACTGCACCAGTAGAGCTCCCCAACTTATCATTTGGCTATTGTTGAAGATCAAGTAAAAACCATTGAAACTTCATGCATTATTGTGTAGTGATACACGTTTTACTTGGTTCACTCAAATCCTTTTTAAAACTATGGTCATCATCTTCCCAGAAAACGAAACCTCAATTCAAACAAGTATTTTACCATAAAATACCTCAAGAATGTTTGTACAGTTTCTTGAATTCTAAAACTAATTAAAAATGGCATGTGTACATATATCTGTTTTGCTTTTGACTTATTTTGTATAAGATTTTCTATGTTAATAATCAATATATTTAATATTAAAAAAAATCTACTCATTAACCCAATATATTTTTCTCCAACCACTTCCCAACTGCTGAACATTTAGATTTTTCCCTCAGTTTGGGGTGATGACAGCTCAAAAGAGTTCTTCTCCATTTATTTTGTTGAGGCATTTGTGTGTTTCTGCATTCATTTGGAGAGACTCCGTTTGTTATGGAGTCTGGCCGGCTGTAATCTTTATGAAAGCTGCTTTCCAGGCCTGGATCTTCTGCAGTACCACTTGGAAGGCTTGTACAGGCAACCTTTGGTTTACTAGCCAAGTGCTGACTGACTGTGCCACCCAGGGACCTTCCTCTTCATTTATTTTGTTACCAGAACCTGTTCATCTTTCATCTATCTCCAATCTTGGATTTTTAGTTTTGATTAGCATTCTGAATTATTTATTGATTTATTTTTAATTTAATGGCGAAGATCATCATTCTTTCTCAAAGAAAACATGTACCAATTATAGAAATATCTTGGGAAACATATTAAAAAAAAGATACAAAACTTTATTAACAAAATAGAGAAATGTCTACAGGGAATTTAATTATCTGTGTATCTTTTTGACAGAATACATCTTTCAACACAAACAAATCAATCAATTCTAACCATCATGATAAATCACAGAGCTATTAAGATTTTATATCTAAGTACATTCTGTTACGATGATTATTGTCCCACATAAATAATCCCTAAGTACAGAGAATTTCCCTTTAACTATAAACAAAAACACATTGGTGGTTTCTTCCCTTCTTTACATACAGAAGGAAAAAAAAAGGCTTAATACATTAATTCCCACGGTTCCTTAGTCATATACAACACATAATAAACTCACATATCTGTAGTATTAACAACAGTCTACACTCTCCAATAGTGATATCAAACTTTGTTACTGTTTCAGTATATGTGTGTGTGCTTGCATGTCTGTGCAAATAAACCAGAATATCCATTAACAATCTTTCATAATACTCTAAGTGAAAAAATGTTTACTGAAATTTTAATTTTCATTTACTTATTAAGTAAACTTGAGCTTCTTTTCATGTTTATTGACTTTATTTTCTACTTTTGGTGAAATATCTCCCTATGTCCTTTACTCGGGGGCTCTGGTGGCCTAGTGCCTAAGGCTTTTGACTGCTAACCAGATGGCTGGCGGTTCAAACCCACCAGCCACTCCTCAGAAGAAAGGCTGGGCAATCTACTTCTGTAGAGATACCACCTCGGAAACCCAGGGAGAGGTCATTATGAGTCAGGATCAACTCAGTGGCAGTGGTTTGAGTCGTACATTCATTTTTTTCTTCCTGGGTTGTTCTTACTCATTGATGTATAAGAGATCTTTGTAAATTAGGAGAATTGGCTACCTAGATATTTAAGATATATATGTCTCTTATCAAGACAGATAAATATATATGCTCACATTTTTTTAAATAACTCATTTTTGAACATTCTTAACACATTAGCCAACAACTTTATAGAAACTAGAAAGCAATATACATTTTTGGGTTTTGTTTTTCAATACTTTTCCATTTCACAGAATATGTCTTGATATTTTGACTTTCTTTACTGATAAGTTTGAACATTTCCATATACTTCTTCTATCATGTTTTCAAGTTTTATCCACCATGAATTTTGATTATGTCTATTTGCCCATTTTTCTACTAGGATGCTAATTTTTTTTTTTTTTTAATTGATTTCAGCTCTTCAAATACCTTCTATTCACTGAAGGTATTTTTCCCTCAGCACTTGCCTTTATAATCTATTCACTGTACCTTTAAGTCTATATAAATTTAGATTATCAAATCGATTTAATCACTGGTGTATTCCTTCCTTTTGCTCCTAAATACTTCAACATCTGGATCATTAAGATTTGTTTAATTTCTTTCCTTTTAGTGTAAAATTAACGTACAACGAAATGCACAAATTCTAAGTATACACTAGCTGATTTTTGACAAATACATATATCTTTCTAATACATTTGACTGTCTTCTTTCTACTTATATGGTGCTTCTCTTTCCCCAAATGGATTAGATATTTCCCCTCTTTAAAAAGTAATCTGTGAGCCAGAACATTACTAGAAAGCTACAGTTGCCCCACCACCACATCTATTCCTTTTCTTTTTCCAAGTTTTCAAGCTATTCTCCCTTATGCTGTTTGATCTTTTCGACAAATAAAAGTGAGAATAACCACTAGCAGTGGTCACCTAGCAATTTTAGCAATTGCAAACACCAGTATTTAATCCAACTAAAAGTATAAAGAAAAGTACTAAAAACAGGCTTCAGATAAGAAGAGCATTATTGTCAACTATCTTTGAAATAATATTTCTGCAATTTTAGAACACTACCAAATCTCTCTCTCTCGCTTTCTTTTTTTCTTTCTTCCTTTCAACAGATAATTTCACCATTCTAATTACCTTAATTTTAATGACTCCGTCTTGTGGTTCACAGTGTTGCTTCAGAAAAAGCTTTAATTTATCCCGAGAAAACAGGTGTTTTCTCCGGCTACCATGGAAAAAGGAAGAGGAAGAAGAAGGTGTTAGTATTAAAGAATTCAACCTAAACTCCATAATCTCTGTAAAATTCACAAAAAATTCATAATCTGAATTTAATATCTAGGATATGAAAATCAATTCATCTAATAGAATTTATGTGCAGAATTTACTAAAAAATTTATATAGAAGTATTTCTGTAGAATGTTACAAGATCTGCATGTATCTATTATAAAAAGTTCATTACAAATATAGTATATGCATTACAATGACTTATTTTGTTGCTAAGGATTCTGACATTTAGAAATCAAATAAACCTCAAAGAAAATATATTAAAGTAAATGAAATTTTTTAAAATTAGACATACATCCCTACAAATATCACCATCAACATTTTTTACAAAAATTAAAATCAGTAAACTCTCAGCTGTCATATAACACTAAGTAAATCAACATTCAAATGGATATTGTGAACAGTGTTGAACATAGGATTTATCAGATTTTAAAACATTTTGTGTTTAAACCTCATATAGCAACCAACAAATCAGTGGGATAAGAACAAAAGAGACTTATAATTAAGAACCTAAAATCCTATTATTTATGATACTCTTTTTCCCTCAAGTTAAAAAACAGAAACTATAATAGGAACCACCACTGGAAATATAACAATACAAGTATTTCTGGAAAGGTTCTAGAAAGAAAATACATGTTTTAATTTAATTTAATGTATTCTTTTCAAGAAAAAGTCTACAGCTCCTATGAATGAATAAATAATACAGGCATTTTTAAGTAGTGATACTCCTAAAAATACTATTATTTTCCTAGAACATAAGTTCCATGAGACCAAGGCACCATACTGTAGCTAGGAAAGAAAAGGTAAGTTTGTTGATTATTGATAAACATACTAGCCCTTTAGAGCTACATTGCTCAATATGATAGCTACTAGCTATGTGTGTGGCTATTTAAAATTAAATGAACTAAAAATAAATAAAATGTAAAATTCCATTCTAATTATTCTCCCAAGCCACATATCAAGTGTTCAGTAGGTAATGGCTCTTGGCTACCATACTGGACAGCACATATATAACATTTCCATCATTGCAGAAAGTTCTACTTGTCAGTGCTACTCTAGAATAACAAATTCTCTTTCTTTTTAAAGAATTGTTATTGTGAATTGGGTGTAAATTTACAAAGCACAATTATGTTACTCTCAACAGTTCATGCTCATTTGATTTCAGAGCCCGAATCACAATCCCAAACCATAAAAAGCTCTTCTCCCCTCTCTCTCCTCCTTGTGACTACCCTTTCCCTGTGCCTTTCTTATCTATGCATTCCTGTCTGTCCAGCTTTCATGCTATGTGAACACTGCCCCTCTGATGTCTCATAGTTGATTGATCTAAGGGGTGTATCTCCCTGTTTGTAGGTCTTTCTACTGTTGGCCTGAGAGCCAGCCACTATGTGGAAGTGGGTCCATTTCCAGGCTGGAAGGGTAACCCAAGGCCATAGTCTCGGGGTTCTATCAGTCTCTATCCAACCAGTAATTCTGGTCATTTTTGAGTTTTTGAATTTTGGTGCACATTTTTCCTCCCACTCTATCCAGTATCTCCAATTCTGATCCCTTTCCAAGTGGTTGGCATTGGTAGCCAGGCACCATCTAGTTCTTCTAGAGTAACAAATTTTCTTGATTAAAGGAATATGATGAGAAGAAGTCTTTCAAAAATAGTATCGTTCTTAATTCTTATAATGTTAAAGATGATTTGGAGTTAGTTACTAATCGAAACAAAGGACTCATGGAGTCAATTAGGATTCATTTTTATCAGTCCATATGAGCACAAACGTACATTTACTTTAAAAAGGGAAGCAATCACTCGCAACACTACCCATTTGTTCTACATGACTTCCTTAATCTAACATAGATAACTTATTATTTTACTTTAAACTACCATAAAGAAGATAACTGCGTCTTACCTGATTTGTGTTGCTTTAACAACAGCAGACTCATATAATTCTTTTTTAGTGGGCTGTACCTTGTATTTGAATAACAAGGGATCAATTGCATCTTTCTTCTTTCTGAATAAAAAAAAAGAAGGGAAAAGACACAAAGCAATAATTTATTTGAAAACATGAGCTTTTAAATGGAAGCATAGTTTCTAAAAAGATACAGTGAGAGACTTGTATGCATTTTTATCTTGACTAGTGTTAAGCTGGGAGTTCTGGTGGCGTAGTGTCTAAGGCATTTGACTGCTAACCAGAAGGCTGGCGGTTCAAACCCATCAGCCACTCCTCGGAAGGAAGGTTGGGCAATCTACCTCCATGGTGATACCATCTCGGAAATCCAAGGAGGGGTCGCTATGAGTCAGATCCGACTCAACAGCAGTGAGTGAATGTTAAGTTATCATAAGTATAATTATGTAAGTTATAATGATACTCCCTACCCATTCTATCAAGGAGGTCTGGCAGCATAGTGGGCAAGGCATCTGGCTGCTAACCAGAAGGTAGGCAGTTCAAACCCACCAGCTGCTCTGCAGGAGGAAGATAAGGCAATCTAATTCCATAAAGATTTATAGCCTTGGAAACCATCAGTCAGAATTGACTGGATGGCAGTGGGTTTCTGACCATTCTATTAGCCAAAATAATACAATGCAGGATTTTCTTTTATGTAAGTATTTCAATTATTCGTTCAATAAATCTTCCTTGGGTGAAGAAATTAATTAGAAATAAATATGCATAGAGTAGTACCCAGTTTAGATTAGATAAATCTGTAGAAAAACAAACAGCCTTTGGTTTCACTTTTAAGCTTTCTTCTTCATGGCTATGTAATTCAAAAACAAAAGTGGAGATAATGTAATTTTTCCTGGGTTAGAACTGGCAAAGAGACCATAAATTTAATGCTCTCTCCCCTTCCTATCAACTTCTATTTTCTTCTCTTTGAGGATGCATTCCTAACTTCTTTCCTTCATTCAAATCAGGAAGTAATTAAGAACCTTCAATGTGCCAGATACTACACTATAAAATGACAATACCGTAGTGAATAAAATAGAAAATTTCCTGGCTTACATTTTAACACAGAGATACAGGCAAACAAACAAACGACACACAGGTGTGTGTACTATAGGTGATAGTAAGTGCTATGAAAGGAATAGAAAGTGCAGGGTGGGAAAAGGGGAACACTATTTTATATAAGGTATAAAATAAAGGCGATATTGAAAAAACTGCCCAGGAAGGCCTTCCCAAAGAAACTAGTATCTAACTACATCTGAAAACAAAACAACAGCAAACAATAACCCCCCCCCCCCAAAAAAAAAGACAGCTCTACCTATGAGAAAATCTTGAGGAAATGAGTTTAACGGAAGACAGGAGTCTGTAAAGGTTCTGAGATGGAAGCATGCCTTGTTTGCACAAGCAGCTGACTGAATAAAAAGACAAAGGAAGATTTGGGCAGAGAGGAAGCAGCAGGACTAGACAATATAGGGAATTGCATGCCATTAGTAGGGCTTTGGATTTAGTCTGAGTAAAGCCACTGGAGGATTTTGAGTAATGAAGTAATAATGATTTAACTTACACTTCAGAAGAATCACCCTAACTGCTATGTGGAGAATAACTATGCTGCAAGATTGCAAAAGGAGGACTAATTAGAAAGCTACTACAGTAAACTGAGACTTGATGGCAGTATAGACTAAGAAGTAATAGTGGTGGTAGAGAGAAGTGGCTGAATTTTGGAAGTGATGCCTCTGAATACAAGAATATATGTAAAGAGGATATAAGTAGGAGTTGTAGAGAAGAAAATAATATGAAAGGATGATAAGAGAAGGACTGTGAAATGAGGGTAATATGATATATGCGTGTGGGGGAATATATGAGAAAATGGCAGAGTGGGGGGCTCAAAGAATCAGTTACTCCACTGAAACAACCGTAATCTGGCAGAGACGGACAGAAGTCACCGTTTTCAGAATTCTGGAATTTAAAAATGGCAAACAAGGCGTGTTTAATAGAGAAAAGAGCAGCTGAATTTCAGTATAAGAGCTTAGAGCATTTTTGCTCATCTGCCTACCATCCCCACTCCCCAGACCCAGTGGCAGGGCCATGAGGGCAGTGCTAGCATTTCTGATGTGGCTTGCTGGTGCCAGGGGCTAAAAAAGAACCTTGTTCTTAAAATACTGTGGTTGTGTGTTTTGACCTTTCTGGCAGTTCCCTAAGGGACAGCCACAGAGGCTGACCTTTGTTCTCCCACTTCATACCTCCATCAGGCTGAAGAAGCTTTCCAGGCAGTGGCGTCTACTGAAACATATACTTCCATTGCCCTAATGGAGTAAGGGAAAGGAGATGAGGCAAGCAAAAGACCAACCCAAAAGCCTAGGGAAAATGAAGTCTGTGAAGGAAGTTTTTTGAGAGAATATAGGATTAAAAAGGCAACTGTGTATACCAGGAAGATGGAATGCACTGTGCATGCCCAAGACAGGGCACACATCAGGAAAAACCTGAGAGGACCTTAGACTTGCCTCTTTGGAAGATCTCCTGCACAAGTTGGAAGTTAAGGCTGGCCTTAGCATTGAAGGAGTATCAATATCAGAGCCAACCTGCAAAGAGCAGGAGAGTAGTAGTAGGTTGTTTCTTTTTGTTTGTTTGTTTGTTTTTTTAAATCTGTTAGGTCACTGGCTGACCACTAAAATAATGAAACAGAGACTTCAGTGACCACACACACATACACGACAAGGAAGACAGCCATGGACAATTGTAGTCCTCAACAATCAACAACAGCAAACCCTGGGGAAGGAAGAAACTTTGATTCCAGAGTTACTGCACTGTAATATTCAGAATGCTCAATTTCCAACAAAAATATTAAAAAGCATGCAGAGAAACAGGAAAGTGTGGCCCATTCACAAGAAAGAAATAAATCGGCAGAAACTGTTCTAGAAGAGGCCCAGACAGTGGACTCACTAGTCAAAGACATAAAATAAACTGTCTTAAGTATAATAAAAAAGCTAAAGGAAGCCATGATCAAATAACTAAAGGAAATTATGAAATAATGCATTAACAAATAGAAAATATCAATGAAGAGAAAATTATGAACATGAACCAAACAAATTCTGGAGCTGAAAAGTACAAGAACGGAAATGAAAAAATCCACTAGAGGATTTCAACAGCTAATTTGAGCAGGCAGAAGAAAAAAATCAGCAAAGTTGAAGATAAGACAATTATAATTAACCAGTCGGAGGAGAAAAAAAGAAGAAAGAAAAATGAAGAGTCTGAGAGATCTGGGGAGCAATCAGGTGAATCAAAATAGACATCATGGGAATCCAGAAGGAGAAGGAGGGGTGGGGGGAAGAATATTTGAAAAAGTAATGGTTTAAAAATCCCAAAATATAAGGGGATCTATGTAGGAGATCCTTAATAGAGAAGGAGAACAATGTGGAACAAAACTCAAAATCATTTGGAGGAAAAAAAATGGGGGGGGGGGGGGACCAGGTTTGCTGGTCTGATAGAGCCTGGTGGAACCACTGAGACTATGGCCCCTAGCTGCCCTTCAGGTCTAGAATTGAACCCACACCCATGGTTTCCAGCCAAACAAAAGATAGGCATATCAGTTGAACATTTACCTCAAGTAGATACACTCCTTGGAGAGAACAATCACAGGAGAAAGAAGGGCTGCTTATGCACAGGGAGACAGCTCAGGGGACAGGAGTGCATGGAGGGATAAACACTGGGAAAGGGTAACTATAGGGAGGAAGTGGGAGGGGAGCTGTTGCATTGTGGTAAACTGTGGTCAATGTCATGAGACAAAGTGTATGTGAACTGATGTATGGAAAGTGAATCTGCTCTGTAAATCTTCACCCAAATCACAATAAAAAAAAGAAAAAGAAAAGAAATCCCAAAATATGATTGAAGAGAACAGTGTATCTACACATCCAAGCAGCTCAATGAACTTCCAGTAGGATATACTCAAAGAGATCCACGACAAAACACATTATACAAATACTCTCAACTCACTACCGTTGAGTCATTTCTGACTCATAGTGAACCCTCCTTGAGTTTCCAAGGCGGTATCTCTACGCAGGTAGATTGCCCAACCTTCCTTCTGAGGAGTGGCTGGTGGGTTTGAACTGCCAGCCTTCTGGTTAACAGTCAAATGCCTTAGGCACTATACCGCCAGAGCTCCCACTATTCAATAAGATTAAGAGCCAACTTCTCATCAGAAACCATGGAGGGTAGAAGGCAACCTTTCTTTTTTTTCTTTTTAAATCTGAGTGAAAGTTTATAGAGCAAATTGGTTTTCCATTCAATAATTCCCTCGGAAGGAAGACTGGACAATCTACTTCTGTAGTGATAAAGCCTCAGAAACTCAAGGAGGGGTCGCTATGAGTTGGATCCGACTTCATGGCAGTGTGAGGTGGTTATTTATTTATTGATTCATTCATTCAGTAATTCACGCACATTATATTTTTTTGACATTCATTGCAATCCCCACAATGCAATAGTACTCAGAACTTCTCATTTCTTCCCTGTGTTTACCATTTCCCTTTGTGTTTGTTTCCTATCGCTCCCTGTCTTGTGAGCTTTATCCCAGGACAAATGCTGCCCTTTTGAGATCATATGGTTGATTGCTCTTATGAATGTATGCCTCCCTGATTTACTGTTCACCTTATAGGCCTGTCTATCGTTTGGCTGAAAGTTGAGCCATGGGCGTGAATTCAGTCCCATGCTTAAAGGATGTCTAAGGACCATAGTTTCGGGGATTCCACCAGTCTCTATCAGACCAGTAAGCCTAGTATTTTTTTTTTTTATGATTTTGAGTTTTATTCTACAGTTTTCTCCCACTCTATCCAGGGCCTCCTATTATGATCCCTTTCAGAGCAGCCAGCAGTAGTAGCTGTGTACCATCTAGTTCTTCTGGTCTCAGGGTTGTGGAGGATGACATATTTTTAAAGTGCTAAAAGAATTAACTGTCAGCCAAGAATTTTGTATCTGACAAGACTAGGAAACACTAGGAAAAGAAGAAATTGCTGATGGGAAATAAAATGGTACAGCTACTGTGGCAAACATTTGGCAATTCCTTAAAAAGTCAAACACAG